GTTCTCAAAGATTTTCTGAGTAGAGGAAAAAGACATCTAAGAGACCAAATTAATAAAGATAGATGCTATAACACGCTGGAGAAATACCTAGGAAGGGAAGGAGGAGTCACAGATGACATCACAGGAAAGTGGCATTTCAATTACCTCAAGAAGCTTGAGTGTGAGAAGTGAGTAGAAAAAAGTGAAAGAATAGATTTACCAGGTGGATGTGGAGGGGAGCTGGGAAAGGTGTGTGCTTAGGCACAATCTAAAGCTCTACTGCATATTTTAGAATCCCAGGAATCCCAGTGAGGCTAAATTAATTCCCTGGGAAAGTGTTTACTGAGGAAATACTGTGTTCTGAGTGCTGAAGCTACAAAGATGAGTAAGACAGTCCTTGCCCTTCATGACCTGCAAATCTAATGGAGCAGATGGACATGTGAATATGTGACTAGGTTATTATAATCTAGTAAAAAGGGCCACAATAGAGACGATCAAGCAGTGAGGGGAGGAAAGGGAAGAGTGACAGTGCCACTGGGAAATGAGCGAGGTCTTGGCTGGGCCTCAGAATGAGTAGGAATTTCCCAGTTGAATAATCTCAGCAACGCCGAGCATCATGTGCCAGGCACCAAGTCCTTTACGTTTATAACTTGTGTAGTAATCTTCACCGCAATGGTGAGGTAGGTACCACGTTCCCATTTTGTAGATGAAGAAAATTTCAGGCAGGATTCGAACTCAGGCAGTGCGGCTCCTGCATCTGTGCTCTTAACCCAGTGGATTCCAAGGCAGAAGAGGCAGTTCTGCGGAGGCACAGAGTTGGAAAAAGGCGTAGGATGGAAGTTCAGGAATTTCTGGGCGTGAGTTGCATGCAGGAGCCTGACAGCAGGAAATGCTGAAGTGGGAGAGCTGGGTCTAGAGGAAGGAGAGAACTTGAGAGATATTTCTGAGATGGGCCCCCAGCCTGTAGAGATTGAGTGTGGGGCTGGAAGGACACGGAAGCAGTGTTTTTAGTTGGCTGGATTGCATCTGTGACTTGTCCCTGGGGATAGTTCTATAAAATAAATGCTTAAAATAAATATGTTTTAGAGCTAGCTTCTAATCTTATTAGGAAATTGAAAACCAGGGCCTGTCTTCCAGTGTCCTGGATTTGGGGGCCATTTTGATGTTTTTTTTTCCCCCCAATGACACTCTTCATTTACTCATCGGCTCTTCCTTTTTGAGGAGGAGAAGGAAGATGTGGGCACAGGGGAATTGTAAGGTGAAGAGAAATAGATGTTGACAAACAAACCAGAAATAAGGAGAGACAATGAGAAGGGTCTTCAGGGGGAAAACACAAAGAATCAAAGAAATGATAGAGAAAATTAACCAACCCCCTTCTTCCGCAATCTTAACCAAGGAGGGCCCATTTCCCCTTCCTGGTTTTTCTAAGCCACACGCAGAGCACCTTCTTGTTTTGTTGTTCTTTCGAAAATGTCTATTGACTTTGAAAGCTAAAAGTAATACATGTATTTGGGGGAAAACTAACATTTTTAATAGGAAGCTCAGTGAAAGGTAAGGTTCTCCTCTCTCAGATTTCTAGCTTCCTCCTCAAAGGCAACCATGACTACCAAATTCTTTTGGAAAATTCCAGAGCTATTCTTTGCATTGTTAAATCCCCCTTCTATTTCTATCTCACATTGTTCCTTCCTTTATATCAAATAAGAGCATAGTACAGGGCCTCTTTTGGACCTCACATTTTCTCCTTTAATTATCTACCTTGGAGTTGATTCCGTGTGTGTGTGTGTGTGTGTGTGTGTGTGTGTATGTATGTATGTATGGATAACTGTTTCAACAGCATTCAGTTTATTCAACCAATCTTTTGTTGCTGGAATTTTAGAATGTTTCCAATCTTGCTGTACACTTTACTGCTGTGGGGAACATTTTGGTACATGTATCTTTGCCTGAGGTTGAAAAATTGGCTATATCTGGCTATGGACTTTTTTTTTTGAGGGACCAATTTCTGTGTAAAATATCAGACATTTTTAATAAAGGCTCAGGTTTCAAGCTGGAAACTCTAGCAATAGTGGGCCCACATTTCTGAAGACAGAAGTTCTGGCCCCTGACTAGTGGTCATTCCTTATAGATAGAGCCTGTACTTCCCAGTCTTCGTCCTTTCAACCCCCCATTGCCTTTCTTTAGGCCAGTTACATGATTTGGCTGGCCCCTGAGAACACTAGGTTAGTGCACCCTGTTTTGTGCATCAGTGTAAGACTCTAAAAATGGTGGTTCTCAAATGTTTTTATCTTATGTCTTCACCACCCTATGTCCATGAGAGGATCTGGGATTCTGCATTGTTTTCTCACTAGACACTAAGTACAGTAAGATTTCCAGCCAATTAATTAAAAATGGGATAGGATAGGAAACCCATTAGATCTAAAATACAAATTGACACTTTAGCTTTGGGGACCTCAACTCATGAGATGAGTCTTCAGTTTGCTGTCTTTTTGGAATCATTTCCCTACTTCAGGTTGTTTTGTGGCCGTAGGCAGGTTCACTCACTTGACTGGTTTGATTCCCCTTCTGAGAAGAATTTATTGATTCATAAAATTATTAAGTATTGCTATTGGGTACGTCTCTTTCAAAGCTGGCTGCAACTCTTGGCCAGCTCCAATAGAAGCCATGTTGTTGTTAGTAGAGGATGTTATTTTATTAACTTTTAATCTGAGCTTTGTTTTGCCCCCCATATTGAGGTGATTTCATGGATAACCACTCACTTTCACCACAGCTCTCAGAGCCCCTGGGTGTAAATGACCCGACCACGAAATCTTGAGGTTAATCTGTCCATCAGCCCAGGCCTCACAGTAAGCCTGCTCCTTGGTTTGCTTTTTTCCAGGTAGCCTAATGTTTTCCTACTTCTCTTCCTCTCTTTCAGTATTTGTTCTGCCTCTTGCCTTTGCCAAACGATAGACTTATTTTTATTTCTATGTCATGTTCCTAATGCCCGCCTCATCATTTGGGGGTGGGAGGAAAGGCAGTGGAGTCCCCAAGCCTTATTTTCCACTTTAGAAAGCCATCTTTCCACTGAATTGGGGTTGCCCAATAAAACTTAACTAATATTAAGGCCAGAACTGACAACCCAAGAACTTGAAGAAGGTTCAATAATAACCCTGTATCAGCCGTCTCTTTTGGTATCCTTCTTCTTATTTTGTCTTGCTCCCTTCCAGGACTCTTCTTTATTTTTTAAACAAAAGTTTTAATGTGGAAATTTACAAATATATTCAGGAGTAGAGAAAGCAGTTTAATGAATTCCTATATTTCCATAATCTAGCTTCAGTAATGATCAACATTTTGCTAATCTTGTTCCATTCCATATCATATTTTTTTCCAATTTTTATTCTAAAAATTATTTTTTAACTTTTTAAGAACAGTACAATGATCACCCATAAACCTAACACCTACACTCAGCACTTGTTAACATTTTACCAAATCTGCTTTATTGATATACCTATGTGAACCATTTGAAAGTCTGTTCTATACATCATGACCCTTCACCCTTAAATATTTTATCACGTACTTCTTAAAACAGCATTTCTCCTACATAACCACAATTCCATTATCACACTTAAAATTAACAATACTTCCTAATATTAGTTAATATTCAGTTCATGTATGAGTTTCCTCAGCTTTCCCCAAAATGCTTATATAGCTATTTTTTTTAAAACCAAGATCCAAACAAGATCCAGATAGTACATTTGATTGTTACTGTCTTTTAAATTTCTCCTCTTTTTCAGCCCCCTCGTTCTCTTCTATTACATTTTATTTTTGAAGAGAACACGCTAGTTGTCTTGTAGAATGTCTCAGATTCTGAATTTGCTGATTATCTCCTTGGTGTGTTTAACTTTTTCCTTCCTCCCTTAAAAGTTTCCTGTAAATTGCAAATCAGTTCTGAAAGGCCTGATTAGATCAAGAGCACACACTTGACAAGAATACTTAATAGGTGATGCTGTGTACTTATTGCATCTCATCAAGGACTACGTCAAAGTTGTACCATTAGTGATGCAAAGTTCGATCACGTGGGCGACTACCAGATCTTTCATTTATTTATTTATTTTTCGATGGGATTTGTAAATAATCTATGTGGTGATATTTGGCACCAGGTTAATATCCTGTTCCCAAACAAACTTTTGCTTAAAGTTTTGATGATTGATGATGACACTTGCTTGAATCATTTCATTTTGGGTTGGTGAATGAATGGCAATTTTCTAACTCTTTCATTCCTCTACATTCATTATACGGAACGCAAAAAAAGTTTTCCCTTATCGACTGCCGATGAACTACAGTTCTACAGAAAGGGTAGATGCTTAATTCTTTCCTATTAATGGCCAATTTTCAGAGTAAGAAGTTGATGTAAAAGTTATTCAATGTGGCAAATTAGTTTTTTTCTCTTTTTGAGTATCACTATAGACTACTGGATTTTTCCTATCTCTTGTCATTCTCTCCTCACACATCCTATTTTCCCCTTGTCTCCTTTATCCATGGCGACTGCCAACTCTCTCCGCACTTACGCCTGGACTTTTCAACCAGCCCGCTAGGGGCCACTAGATTCGTCTCGGCCTCCACGCTGCCGCTCTATCATAGACTTCGCCATCTGCTATCAGCTGTTGTCTCGCTGGTGCCAACGCTGTCCACGGAGCCGCTCTAGGCTGTTGGGAGGCCGTCCGCATTGCGTGGGGAAGGTTTGGACGACGCAGTCGCCTCGCCGGCCCCCAGGGCGGTTAGCGCTTCCGGGGTCGGAGGGTGCGCGGGGTTGAAAGCGGGCCGCTCCGCCCCGTCCCCCTCCCAGACCAGCAGAGGCAGCAGCCGGAGCAGCCGCAGCCTGCGCCCTCTCCC